CTCTAAAGGATGACTCAACTTGAGGTGGTTGAGAAACCAAAAACCAAAGAAGGGAGCCTCATGGGTGAGTGTGAGAAAGATAGATTATGAGTTTTTTATAGGAGGCAGGAGTCCGGGCACATGGGGTTCTGTTAGCACTGGAAAGGATTTGAAAATCATAGCAAATAGGTGGTTTATTGAAAGCCAGACGCCTGGACAAGGTTGCCCTTGGGGAGTAAGTAGGCAGAAAAGGGAGGGGCTCAGTATAAATTTGGAACATTCAACATTTAGAGGTTGAGCAGACTCAGATGGGGAGCAAGTCAGGAGGGACTGCAAGGAAGCAACCGGTGAGTTTAGTTTAGATGTCTGGAAAGCCGTTAGGAGAAGGTGTTTCAAAAAGGAAGGAGTGGTATATCCCATCGAAGAAGTGGAGCAAGAGCTGTGCCTGTGCCAAATCTAGTGGCAGCGCAAAGTCACTGATGACTTTGACAAGCGCAGTTTCAGTGTTCATCAGAATGGGCTGAAGGCAAATACAAGCTGAGAAAAGGTGATCATGGATATAGAAATGGAAATACAGATATAAAGGTCAAGGTTTTTTTAAAAATAATGTTTTAAAATAGTTCTTTTTTTTAATTTATTTTTGAGAGAGAGCATGAGCACAATTGGAGGAGGGGCAGAAAGGGGGGGGGGGCACAGAATCCAAAGCAGGCACCAGATTCTGAGCTGTCAGCACAGAGCTCGACGTGGGGCTCAAACTCACAATGTGTGAGATCACGATCTGAGCCGAAGTCCGATGTTTAACTGATGCCCCAGTGATTTTTAATAAATCCCAGGAAGGATTTATTATTCTGTAAAAGGTAGATTGGAAGAAATTAATGAAAATGAGAATGGGAATAGGAGCCAAACTTCCCTGCCTTCCTCCTCTCCATACTACCACAACCAAGGAAACGTGAGCCAAGATTCTAGGGGAGGGAAGGCGAAACTGATACTAGGAGAAGAGGAAAGCAGGAAACTTACTACATTGCAGACATGTAGCATGACCACTAGTGCTTAAGGCCTTTTTGAATTTGAGAGATTCAAGACTTTTTTGGTTTTTTAATCGGTCCCTCCTACCTGGTACCATTCTAATCCACAAAGCGACCCTGGGGGTGGGTGGTTCCCCCTGCAGGAAAAGAAGCAGACATGGAGAAGTAAGTAACCTCAGCCTTCCTCTCATGCAGTCTTCCTCTGTCTGCCCCACCCCTGCTCATGCACTGTCTCCAAAAATAAATAAACGTTAAAAAATATTCAAAAAACAAGGACTTCTAGCAAAATACATAAGACCAAGGGAGCCTGGGTGGCTTAGTCAGTCGTGGGTCCAACTTCTGTTCAGGTCATGATCTCATGGTTCATGAGTTCGAGCCCTGCGTCCGCGCACTGCCCTCAGAGTGGAGACCACTTGGAACCCTCTGTCTCCCTCTCTCTCTGCCTGTCCCCTGCTCACACGTGCTCTCTGTCTCTCTCTCTCTCTCTCTCTCTCTCTCTCAAAAATAAATAAACATTAAGAAGAATACAGAAGACCAGTTTTCTTCCTTCGGGCCTTATGTCTGTTTCACTGTTGGCTTGTCTTTTCAACTTAACCCATCTCCCAGCCAAGCTCCTCCTTTTCCTTAATTAGCATCAGGAGTTTTCATTAGCCATTTTATGAGTTGTTTGTTAGTGATCCTCATTAGTTGTGCTGTGGACTTAAATTTGTTTGACATTTACCATCTTACTTTATGAGATTTCATGGTTAATTCTCAGTGTATACAAGCTAGGCTTCTAGTCATTACATTTTTTTTTACAATGTCTACATTCACATTTTATAGCATCTCTTCTAAACATTTTTCTTTACAGTTTTATATAAATGACTGGCCTTCAATATATCAGGCTTCTTCACATCTTTATGTAGGTAGATATGGAAGATTAAATAAATATATGTCACTCAGTTAATGGTAAGTTTTTCAAGAAATAGAAAAATACTTCGTCTTCATGTTCTACAAAATAAAAGAATTTAATGAAGTATTGTAATTTGGCTTTATAGTAAACTCTAGTTTTCATTCTATACTTATTGAGCACGTGTGCTCAAAGTATTGTCCAAGGAGCAGGGAATAAAGAAACGCTTCTGCCTCCGTGTTGCTGGACTATATAGTGAAGAAGAATTATAACAGGTCTAGTTATTTCACAGATGTAGGTGTGTTTTGTTTCACAGTGTGTGATTCTGCCTTTGGTTTCCACTCTACAACAACACAAAACCAAAGCCATAATCCCAGCAAGAATATTCTTCCTTAAACTTTGAGTTAGCCATTTGTAGTCGTGTTTTGTCGTTCATTCCATGGTTATAAGAGCCTAAAATTTGCCAGGTGTTAGGGACCGATTGATAAACAATACAGAAAAGGTCCATTATGTTCAGATGAAAAAGGGAATTTAATATCAAAAGTATAACAGGTGAGTGAATGATTTCAAGAAATGATTCGTGCTATTCTTTCAATGGTTATTTTTTGAGTACCTATTATATGCTAAATGCTAATGTATAAAGTAAATCATATAGGATGAAGGGAGGGGAGGGCCAGGGAGCTGTCATTTTAGCTGTTTAGGGAAGGTCCCTCTGAGGAGATGACACTTAAATTGAGATCTAAATGACAAGGAGGAGCAGAAGAGTTTTTTGACGTGAGTCTTTAGAGTCTGTGAGTAGAATTCAGACTTAATGGGAATTCAGACTTGATGGGAAGCGTGGGTGGGAGAAATAATTACATTGTGTTCACTAAAGTCAGGCTGAAATTTAACATGGCCTTCCACCTGAATGTAAGCATCGAATCTCAGTAGTATTAGCATGACCTGCTACTTTGTGATCAGTATTTACATACCACATTTTCGTTATTGCAGCTATTTTCAAATATTATTGCCTTGAAATTGCAATATTTTTTAGATCTGCCACTAAATCTGATTATTACTTTGTGTTAATAAAACAGCACTCATAATTACAGTGTTAGTATTACTGTGGAATCACGCCAACATAGAGGCTTAAAACAGCACTGAATGATTTTGTGGATCAGTCATTTGGGTCGCACTCGGCTGAGCAGTTCTTACGGACTTGCCTGCGGTCACTGACGTGGCCGCTTGTCACCTGGCAGCTCAGCTGAGCAGAACAGTCCACAAAGTCTCCCTCTGTGCTTGGCAGCTGGTGCTGACTCTGGGCTGGACCGCACGGCTCCCGCACCGGCCTGGCTTCTTCTATGGCGGAAGCGTGCCAGGAGAGCTGCCAGGGCCCTTGAGTCTCAGGCTCAGAAATCCCACCTCAATTCCACCACCTTCTGTGGGTCAAAAGCAAGTTGGAGGCCAGCTCAGAGTCAGCGTGAGAGGAGACACCACGGGGAAGTATGATTGATTGGGGACCATGACTATAATAAACGACCTGATTACCATATCGTAAGTTTTAAAATATTGTATTAATTCAATTTTAATATAATCAGTACCCTTTGTAATTCTGTCAAAGCATAGGCTTTGAGGGAGGAAAATTTCCCTCCTCTCTTTGCCTGAGCCAAAGAATTAAACATAAGACATATTAAATAAGACATACATAAGATATAAGACAGATTAACAAGAAAAAGCTTACAAATTCACTTTGTTATATGTACGCAAGAGGCTTTAGAAGGAAAATGAGGACCCAATGAAGCCATTAGGCCCCAAAACTTATGTACCTTTTCACACAAAAAATGATCATTGTGGGGAGGTGACAAGATATGATAAACTGGCTACGGGCAGTACATTGTGGAAGAGTGACTAGGAAATGTATGGAGGGCTCGTGGAAGACCAGGGTTATTTTAGTAGGTTTGTTTGTACAAGTCCGTTTTGGTGCCGACACTGTCTCTGCTGATGAGAATGTTCTTCTCTTCCAGCACAGGGAGAACGCCTTTCTCAGAGGCAATTTCCTGTCCTGCTTTCAGGTAGAAAAGGGGCTTGCAGCTCAAAATAATCAGTATGCTAAAGTGGCATTTTTCGGGTGGCATGCTCTGAACCCTTTCACTTCCCTTTAAAATATTATTCTGAGGAGAGCTTCATCACCTTCAACGTGTTGTCAAAGAGGGCCATGGCACAAATGAGGTTGAGAACCCCTATCTGAGGGCGCCTGGGTGGCTCAGGTACTTAGGTGTGAGACTCCTGGCTCAGGTCATGACCTCATGGGTCATGGGTTGGAGCCCCACCATCGGGCTCTGTGCTGACAGTTCGGAGCCTGGAGCCTGCTTTGGATTCTGTATCTCCCTTTCTCTGCCAGTACCCTGCTCACTCTCTGTCTCTCTCTCAAAAATAAATAAACATTAAAATAATAATAATAATAAAAAGAATCCCTGATCTGGAGGCAAGAAATTCCGGGGAGGGGGGGAGTGTAACACGCTCGAGGCAGGAGCAAGCTGGCAAGTCCAGCATTGCTGGGGGGCACGGGGAAAGTTACTGAGGCTGCAGTGAGTGACCAAGGGCTAGAAAGAGGCAGGTCAGACCATGTGGCTTATGCGGCAAGTTGTGGATGGACGGCCCCCATACCCCTTGAGTGTAAAAGTTGGTTCTGTATGCGTACTGGTCTGTAATTTTATATTTCAAAATATATTGTAGCTATATTTCTCTTTCTGTATATAAAGCTCCTCATTTTTTTCTCATTTTTAAAAATAATTTTATAATGCTCAATCAGTGGATGCCTGATTATTTCATTGTTACCCTAAAAGCACACATTTAGACTGTTTCCATTTCTTTGTGTAAATATACATGGGTTTATTTTTCTCTATGAAAATGTATTTAAGAGTGATTTTTCGGTGTAGACTTGCTGGATCTCGTCTATGTGCTTTGAAAGTTTTGACAAATATGACTACATTGCCATTCAATAAAAGGTGGTACTGACTTACATTCTATGAGGTGTTTTATTACTATCTTTAACCACCAAGGTATCTGCACTTTATAAAACCTAGCATAAGAAAGCTTTGTATTGACTGTTTATTCTGTTGTTTCAGAACAATGAGATGGTGGAGCTACAGAGAATACGGATGAAGGATGAAATCCGAGAATATAAATTCCGAGAAGCCCGCCTCCTTCAGGACTACACTGAGCTGGAAGAAGAAAATATCACGTTGCAGAAACTTGTGTCCACGTTAAAGCAGAACCAGGTGAGGTTCGAGAAGGTTTTTAGTTGCACTCTGGATAGATCCACATCTTCTGACCACTGAAGTTAAATCTTCTCTTTAGTTTTTTGGAAAGGAACTTGTCTGAATTTGCCTTAACCTTCCTACAGTATTTATGTGCTGGTATTTCCCGACCCTCCTCCCATTTCAGCTAACCTTTAAAAGAAGGATAATTTACAATAAAACTTAGTTGGATAAGAAGCAGAATCTTAGTTTATCTTTTAGTCCTGTGTTAAGAAATTGAAATGTATTGTAATCAATTTAACCTGACAGCTTCTCATAAAGAGCAATTCTCTCTCTCTCTCTCTCTCTGTAAATTGCTTTCAAATCATACAGGGAAAGGAATTATGAAATATAAATCAATAAGAATAAATTATAAGAAAAAGATAATATTTGATATTTTTTCATCTGTAACCAGAAACATTGCGTGTGGTTAAATTTTTTTTTTTTTTTTTGGTAGTGAGGCTTAGATAGCTTAATTGCTTACTTTTCCTGATTGGTTTGCTTGTGGTATGTTACAGTAAGTAACAAAAGTAAGTAACTTAGTAAGTAAACTTAGAGACCAGCCCAGGTGTATGCTTCCACGCCTCCTCCCTTCCCAAGCTTCTATCTCATTCCCAAACTATTTTTGGGTTTGATGGATACAAGGGTTGAGAAGGGAAAGAAAGAATCCAGAAGGGAAAAAAATCCAATGTATTGACACAATTGAAATTTGATTTCTATCATTGCTACTTGCCCCAGTTTTGGAGTGTTGGGGAAACAAAGTATCTACCAGGGAGTACAGCAGGTGGCTTCAGACCATTAAAAAGGGCTACCAGGACATCCGCCTCTGTTTTTACTTCAGTCCTTCCCCTTGAAGCACTGACTCCCTGTGTGTGTGTGCTCTGAGGTTCCTGTGAGCATCCCAGGTCTCAGCTTGGCTGGGTGCAGTGAGCTCACGGTGAAGAAATCAGCCTGAGAAGAAATTTTGAGTGTGTTTCTGAGAAACTGCTTAAGAAAGGTATTTTTTTGTTGCTTGGTGTTTTGGTCACTGATGAAGAATGCAGAGGACTTGAAGCAAATGTACTTGAAGTGCAGATATTTGAAGCGGCCATTATCTCTAGTTCCTATAAATCCTCTCTGCTCTCTGCACAGGCAGGGGTGCGGCCAGACAGCCTTCCTGTAACCTCCCATCACTGCATGTGGTAGACTGATTTACTCAGGAGGTTAATTTAGGCCAGTGTTAGGTATTCTTGAAAGTCTGCCAAGGTATCCTGTGAGTATTCATTAACCCAGATGCTGTTTCTGTGGGAATCTGTACTATTAGTCTGGCTGATTACTGTTTATGGTTTATCCTTGCCCTTCCACCAGTAATTGAAATATGGAGATCAAATGCTTAACTCATAAGTTTGAAAAAAACAAAACAAACAAATGGGAAAATGTTCACATCTCTTTAATTTTATTTTCTAGATGCAATATGGTAATTTTCCCAATTAAGTGTCTAATTAATTAACTTGAAATCGTTTTCTGCACAAAGGGCCATTCTGGCTTATTTCCTGACAAATGGATACACTGTAGTGTTATAAGTCTCTCCCAATTAAGAAAATGCTGGGTTTAGCTTTTTGGGTTTTTTGCCCCCTCCTGTTGGCTTTATTGCCAAGAGTTAGAATCCATCATCAGCTCTCTTTCCAATTAATGAAGTATTAAGTATAAAATTTTATGTACACATGCCACAGTTGTTTTTTCTTTTTCAAAGAGATGACAGTGCTGGCTTTCAATCTCATAACTGGTCTGAATGTTGCTTTGTACTGAAGCTCCCTATGCAAACTATACTCTCGCAGCCTGAGTATTGCCATTTCTCTGAGTCGGTAGAGTACTAGCATTTTAAAATGCTTAGTTCAAAAAACTAGAAGATTCTTTTTTCCTGACGTTCTATTTTTTAAAACTATTTATTGATTATTTTCTAAATAACCGTTGTTTAAATAGCACTTCTTATTCTCTGTATAGTTCCTGTATATTACTTTGTTTACTTTCCATCCCCCTCAACCATAATAGCCACCTAGTACAGAGCCTGGCCCATAGAAGGCACTGAATAGACATCTGTTCAAAGAATGAGTAAATTGTTTCTTTCTTTCTTTCTTTCATATTCACTCTCTTTGGCTTAGAAAGGAAATTATAATTTCATATTATTGTAATTAACCAAACCAAGTTTTATTGTTTTATTTATTTTATAAATATGAAATATATGGGAACAGCAGAGAGTTGACTCAGAATTTTACTCTGTGTGCTGATTTGGTTTGGTGTACAAGATAAAACCAGGTCCAGTCTTATAAATATGATTTATACCTTGATTCTTTTTAAAAATAAAATATCTGAAAGAAGTGTAGGAGCCATAAAGAGAGGTCAACTGTCAATTTCCCACAAAAAAATTCATTGATGAAGCAAAGCTATTTAATAGACCTCTCAGTCTCATAAATAATAGTCTTTCCAGTAAGAGACCACCCACCTCAACAAAGCCTCAGTAATGTCTAAAATGGGAGGGTTAGGGAAAGGGTGTTCATAGGGTTTTAGGCTCTCGACTGGGTGTTGCATGGTGGGGAACTGGTTGGGATGGACTGGGTCTGTGATATGATGGCTGTCAGTTAGGAGGCACAACAAAGCAAGGGTCCTGACATGGGTCTCATCTTCTAGGACCAAGTATTTCTCAGAAGCAGCCAAGTTTTTCAAACCTCGTCTCAGTATTGGTTAACATAGAGTTAACAGAAAAATGTGCCTGGTCCCAGTATTACCTAACAGGGCAGGAAATTATGGTAGCTTCAATGTCTAGAGGTGTACAGGTGGGGGAGGGGGAAGAAACAATAAGTCCTATGTCCCTAGTATCCCACATGCTAAGCTAAAGCCCTCAATATTTGTTATCTAACCCTCGAAACCCCTGTTTAAAATTAATAATTCAATCATACTTCTATTATGAAGAACATTTCCTCCAGGGATGTATTTCTAAATCAGGAAATAATATCATAAGAGACCTAGGGAATGTATTCAGTTCAGTTTTATTTCATTTAACCAGTGTTACAGGAGTATCTTTCTATGAGGTCATGTACTTTTTAAGACAAAAGATATGGTCACTGGCTTAAAGAATTTATAGTCCCAGTAGTGACGGCAGTAATAAATTCATAGCCATCCACATAATTGCATATTAAAGCTTTGTGTTAGATTTGGCAACACAGGGCCAGATTAAGATTTTTAGAGTTCCTAAACTCTGAAAAGATTATGATACTTACCCCTAACCCTTTTGTAGTTAAAAATAAAAAAGTTACTGAACTATGAAGTTGCTATAAGGAATCATACCAAAGTACTGATTTTTCTAATAGTGATTACTTTGATGAGACCTTTAAAAAATCAGGCATCAATTTTTAAGTGCCTTCTCATTCCTGTTTCTTGGTGCCTCTACTTCGGACCTCTGATTACATGATGTGGCCTTACAGTGATGGCATCAGAAAAGAGGGATGTTTGCCTTTAGAGTAAAGATCAGAGTTTTGACATGAGTCTTGAAGGATGAATAGGAGGTTTCCAGATGACAGCCTTTGCTGAGGCAGAGAAACATGAAACAGCTGGGTAACTATTAGGAGCTTGAACTATGTTTGAGTGAGCAGAGTGAGCAAAGCTGCCCAGAGAAAAGAGATCAAGTCTTACATGAAGTATACTGTCTATTAAATAAGAATCACAAAATAAAATCTACAATGCAAACTAAATTAATGTCTTCAAGTGTAGCTCAGGAATCAGTAAACTTTTCAATAAAGGGCCAGACAGTAAATATGTTAGGTTTTGCAGGCCTCATATATGTCTAACAGCATCTCTTCCAACTACTTCACTCTGGTGTTAGAGAATGAAAATAACCATAGACGAAATAGTTTGTCTTCTAATAAAACTGTATTTGCAAAAATAGGTGGTGGGCTAGTTTATGTCCAGAAGACACAGTTATGTTAGACACTCCTTGGCCTAAGCCATCAGTTTAACAAGGATTATGGAATAAAAGGTTTACAATGCAAACTAAAGAAATGTCTGTAAATGTAAGCTATCATGAAATTTGGGTGCAGTCAGAGGGTTGGAAAGGTTACCAAGTGATAGGTATCCTGAGTTGCCCAGGAAAGGGAAAAGAGAAGGTCAAGAAGAAGATAACTTTATAGCATATATGCAAGCCTAGAAGAAACCATGACATAGGGACACAGTTTCTGGTATCCCAAGCAATTTCCATGGTTTGTGTCTTTTGAATGATTCTGTCATGGACCTGTGAAGTTCCAATGGTCTTGTATAATGGGGAGGGCTGTTTGTCCATCATTATCCATTAGTCCCGTCTCCCAATGTATTACCCCGTTTTAACTGAGCATAAGGCTACCCAGAGGAAAGATATATTCTTATTCTGTCACCTCCCTTGTAAATAAGTTTCATATGATTAGTACTGGCCAATGGGATATGAGAAGTGACATGAGCACATTTTGGGACATGTTCTTAAAGGGAAGGAGTGTTCCCCTTACTTTGACCCACTGCTTGAAACAAGATCAAGGTGGCACGCTGCCTTAGATCATACGCACCAGAGGAGGAGGCAGTGCAATAGGGTAGAAGAAACTTGTTTCCAGGATGATCTTATGGAGCAGAGAGTCCTATTGGCCCTTGACTGACTACCTCCGTAGTGTTACAAGAGACAGAGAAGCAAACTTCTCTCTAGACTCCATCATTCTTATTTAGGTCTCTGTTACATCAGCCAAACCTATATCTGACCTAAACCTATAACAAAAATTGTTATCCTAACCTTTGTGAGACAAGCCATTGCATTGAGATTATGTGAAGAATAGAGGTTGGGAGGTGGAATAGAAATAAATGAAAATGGTCATGGTCTATGAACCCGATTCTTTAATTTTTTAAAATACTTCTTAAAATACAAGTTTAATAGAAACACTAAGATAAATGTAAAACTAAACACATGGTTTATATTAGTATCTAATATAATGACTTTATTATATTACTTTTTCTAGTTTATTTTTTCATCCACAATAGTTTATTCAGCAAACACTTGTTGAGGAGCAGAATTCTGTTGAAACACAATGGAAGAACATTGAAGCACTGTGAGGGACACCTAGGCGCATAACAAGTATTTCCTCCTTCTGAGGAGATTACAATATAGTGTGGAGGTAAAATAGTTATTAAATTACAAAGAGACATGTGAAAGGGAAACCACAAAGACTAGAGATAGAGAACAAACTGAGGGCTGCTGGAGGGATGTGGGTGAGAGATGGGTGTGATGGATAGTAAGGAGGGCACTTGTGACGAACACTGGCTGTTGTAAGTGATGAATCACTGAATTCTACGTCTGAAACCAATATTGCATTGTATGTTAGCTGATGTGGGAAGGAAATGACAGATAGAACTAAATTTCCTTATAACTTGCAGCCCATTGACAAATGCTTGAGGCTGGCAGAGTGAAATGTTTCTCTAGGAACTCCCGACTCTCTTAATACTAATGCTTTACTAGAGAGAAAACAACCTTAGCTTGACAATAGCTAGGCTTCCAGTATCCTAGGAGTCTTCTTTAGCACTTAAAAATCTCTTTGGAGACTTTCTCTGTACTTAACCTCCCCCAACTCCCATATATATAAGCAGTCTCTCCACAGGGTCTGGGACAGCTCTTTCTGCCCATGAGTCCTGTCCCCGTGCTTTAATAAAATCACCATTTTTGCACCAAAGATACCTCGAGAATTCTTTCTTGGCCGTGGGCTCAGGACCCAACTCCTACCCCCAAAACCTCATCATTAACTAAAATTTAAATTCAAAACAAAATGAAACAAACTGGCATGTCAATTTAGAGTAGGGATCTCTTTCACTTGTGTGCTTCCATGACCAAGAGAGTGTTTAAACAGGCCATTTGATTCTAATTCAAAAGAATATTACATTGAGAACAGTATATACTTTTTGTTATTAAATCATCAGTACCACTATCCCAGATTCTATCTGTAAGCACATACAATTTTTCTTTGCTTTGTTTTACTCTCACACATATTTTCTTGAGATTAAACTCTTGTGACCTTTTAGCTAATTTATCTGAGTACAAAACTTTCCTCATCATTAATAATTAAATAAAACAAAGTTATAGTGATGATAAAATATTTTCTTGGTTGTAAATATTCTGATAAACTATGATTTTTTAAAAATTTCCCAGGTATATTTTCAGACAAACAATGCCCCCTTTTGGCCATTGGCTCCTATAAAAAGAAATCCTAAAAACAGACACCTTTTTCATCTTTAAGAATTGAATTTTTATATATAGTTTGAAGTGTATAAAGATTATATATTATGTTATATATATAAATTATATAATAATAATGTTATAAATTATATATAATTTCCAAAGAAACCATACTGTGTTACCTTAAGAGTATGTATACTGTGTACTTTTTGAGATTTCTTTAGTGGAGGTACAGTTTACACTGTGTAGTTTCTTTTTTTTTCTTTAGTTAACATACAGTGTTATATTAGTCTACTTGCTATATTGTATACCTGAAACTAACATTTTAATTTTTTAAATAATTAGGTCTACCAGAGAGGTTAATGGCAGTGTTGTAAGACCCAAATTTTAGTTTTATGAATCTTCCTTGTCCTATCTAATTCAGGTTGAATATGAAGGTCTAAAGCATGAGATTAAGCGATTTGAGGAGGAAACCGTGCTGCTCAACAGCCAGCTGGAAGATGCCATCCGCCTGAAAGAGATTGCCGAGCACCAGCTGGAGGAAGCCCTTGAGACCCTAAAGAACGAGAGGGAACAAAAGAACATCCTGCGGAAGGAGCTCTCCCAGTACATCAGCCTCAACGACAACCATCTCAGCATCTCTGTAGATGGACTCAAGTTTGCGGAGGATGCTGGTGAGCCGAACAATGATGACAAAATGAACGGGCATATCCATGGGCCCCTTGTGAAACTCAATGGAGACTATCGGACTCCCACTTTAAGGAAAGGAGAGTCTCTACACCCTGTTTCTGACTTATTCAGTGAGCTGAACATTTCAGAAATACAGAAGTTGAAGCAGCAACTTATGCAGGTAAAATCTCTTCTGTTACTGTGAATTTCTTGCAGGTTGCACGCTTCCTGTTTTATGACATCTTGTTCTCACGTTTTACTTCTAGCTTATTTTTTGAAATATTGCTTCTTCACCTAGCAGCCTTAAAGTACAGTATTTTAGAAAGACATGACCGAAGAGGTGTTGAAAAGAAATCTCTCATTGGCGTGGCTTTAAGAAATAGGTCGTAGAGCCATAAAGTGGATTATGATCAGGTGTGAAGGGAGAGAAGCCTCTTGACACATTTCTAATTACGGAATTCAAAAGCTTTATGTATGAGTGATATGACAGAAAACTGAACTTTTCCATCATAAACAACTGTAATGTTAAAGAATAAATATACCCTTTGCAGGAATACTTTAAGCTTTAAAAGACATGAAAGACTTTCAGTCTACAAATTAGTCAGGATATCATATGATTCAAAATACGGAGCAGGTATAAAATCTGAAACCAAGGGGTTCTTACTCCAACATGAGCCAATCCTTAAATTTTTAGCATCTTCAAATTCAAAAATCATGTGAAGAGTCCCGCCTTTAAGTTTCTCTCACTGTGAAATGGCTGTTGTAGTTTAGATATTGCCTTCCTGCCATACCTTAGTTCAGTGATAATGGGAATCTTGTCTGAAGAACAGAATTGCCACCATCACCATCATCTGGGGGCTTCCTCATACTACACATTCTTGGGCTCCACGCAGGGCTACTGAGCCAGAAATCTGGTTCAACAGGCTTGTCAGGTGATTAACTCTGAGGCTTACTCTTTGGTCTGTTATCTTCCCCTCTGCCTCCCTCAAGGTTCTTTGCATACAGCTGATAATTAGAGGCTGTCAGGACTCTGCAGTCATTTATTTCTACAGTAAACAGGGCTTATAACTTTCTGCTTCTACAGAAATGATGACTAAAAAGTGAAATGAGCAGAAATAAATAAGAAACTAGTGGCCCAGTGAAGTTAATTTCATAGGTTTATTGTTAATGTTACATCAAGAGTGAACATATTGTGTACTTTACCTGCCCTGAGCTTTTGGCTGAGAACAGACTTCATCTTCACAGTGTTTAACTGAAATCAAGAGGGCATGGCCATGGGAAGAAAATGAATTTATATAGACTTTTACCTGACTGCAAAGTCCAGTTCTGTGTAGGTAATATTTTTCTGTCTTTTTGCTCAGTTTACACTAATGCAACTAGATTGATAGCAAACATATTTTAAATTTGTACATGACAGATAATATAAGAATTCATGTCCCCAAATTAGATAGAATTAACATAAAATTTTTCTTAAACTATCGTGTTGGTAGCTTGAGGATAAAAAGTGTGTCGAGACCTTTGTTTTTTCTTTTTACGGTGGCAAGTGTAGAAGATCATAGGAAGAGGGGCTCTTCTGCTCAACAGTTTTCAACTGGGTCGGCTCTTTGGCTGCAAACTCTCACATTTAATCCTAAATGTCACCTGAAATAGTAGAAAGTTCTGAAACAGATGGGTCGTGTAACAAAAAGTATGGTGGAGACAAGTTCTCAGCAAGGTAGTGGTGCCGGGTTGGACTGTCATCGCGTTTGGGGTGGGATGATTCCTCCTTGTCTGTGACTGGTGAGCTCCTGGAGGTTTAGGGTCTCTGGTCCCAACCCTTTAAGTGCTGGTTACATTTCCTCAGGCAACGTGATGACAAAATACCCCACAGGTTTCAATTGCTGCAGGGTCAACTGCTAGTTGAGAATCCTCCTATAGAGGGACAGCACTTGACTCTGCCATACAGTGGGGATACAGACTCCTTCCCCATTAGAGTGGCTTGGTTTATGAGTTAGCGTGTGTAGAGTGCCTTGTAAACGCTCAATAATTATGAACTGATACTGCTATTTCAACTCCATAGTGCTTTTAATTTATTGAGCACTCTCTTTAGCTTTTATTACTATTATTAACTTACTGTTGGACAGTTGGCTCGAGGAGAGTCATCTCAGAAGGGCTAATGTGCTCACTGGTAGGAATACAGAAAGGTAACAGCGAAGTGTCAGAGAGTGAGGTCTGAAAAGGGATGTTCATGTAGCAGAAAGTTAGGGAGAGAAAGACTTGGCTGGGTAAACCTTACCTCGGTACAGCACACAACTGTGTACCAGTGTTTAATTAATGTTGACAGTTTGTCAGGATATAAAGAGGCACAGGCAGGGCCTTATGTTCCAAAGTCAGCCCCACACTTAGTTGTGGAGACTAGGGCTCAGCACAGGAAGTGGGGGCTTTGCAGCTTCCTGTCTCACAGCAACGCTAACATCTAATTTTGGTTGAGACAAAGTCACCATTTTATGGTAAGCAAAATTTTTTAAAAAGCGTATTAACTTTTTCTAAGAATGTATTCCATTCAAACTGTTGAGTACAAGTATAACAGAATATATCCTTTCATGCATAATTTATAATCCGATAGGTTTTCCTTAGCTATGCATCCCCTTGGGTTTAATTTATATAAATAAGAAAATTATGAAAACATTACAGGATACATTGCTGAAAAGTAATTGCAATTGTCTTTGATGTTAATGAGGCTTGAAAATAATATGACAGCTCGGATACACAACAGTACTAATAACGTATCTTGCAGCATATCCTCTGTGTCCGCACCACTGTCTGGACATTCCAAGGAGCAAGCAGTCCGATGTATTTTACGTGTGGCTCTCTGAAATGCTTGGAGCCAGATGTGTTGAAATGAAATGTTTAGAATGTAGAAACGTAATATACAACATATATTATATATTTTGCAACATCCCTAATGAGACCAAGTGCAGCAGTGAATGATCAAATAATATTCACATTTTTGCAGCAAAACATGTGACTGTTCACTCTAAGACGAGAAAATGAGGACCAGAAAAGCCCTCTCATCAGGCAGGGCCAGTTTTGCTGCCTGAGGAGTCTAGGGCTGTCTGAATATATTACAACTTTTATTTAAAACCACTTGGGATTTTGAAATTATGGCTGTTGCAGGGCATTGCAGCTGCCATACTGTCAGGCAGCTCTCAGTCTTGTGTACCTCCGCTTCTAACATCAGAATGCTATGGAAATCCCAGCTTGTGTTTTCAGAGTTCCCTTGTCTCTTAGGATTTCTTTGGGCCAGGGTCCAAAGTACCGCATCTGAGAGAAGGCTGTGCACCTTCAAATTGAACACTTGTGCTCAGTTAATGTCGACAGTTTGTAGAGAGATAGAAGGGCACAGGCAGGGATGTAACACCCTGTGCCAGGGAATATGCAACTTTTAAATTGTTCTTCTTAAGAATTAAAGAAACCTTTTAAAAACAGGGTGCCCAAGTCAAAGCTCATTGAACGGTTCTTATCTTACAAGGTTCCATCTATGCATGTTAATTATGTTTTCCCATCTATGGGTACTTACTTGACTTGGTTCTGCAAAGAAAAAATATGTTTCTGCCTTGGGTATCAGGAATGATGGGGGAGTTGTTTTACTTCTCTGAGGTGCATTCATAAAGGGAGGGTAATAAACTAGCCTCACCAGTAGTCTCTACCAGGCCTTTGATAGAATTACGGGGGGAAAAAAAAAAAAAGTCCATTCCTCAAGAGGTCGTGCTGCCATCTGCTGGGAAATGGTAATAATTAATATGAAAATTTAGTACAACTGCAATTTAGTGTCTCTGACAGTTGTATTACCCTCAAGACTCTATTATTTAAAATAGGTTAAACAGCTTACCCTTGAACTACATGGTCTGAATTGCATGGTTCCACTTACATGCAGATTTTTTTTTTAAACACACTACAGTACTGTGAAGGTGTCTCTTCCTTACGATTTTCTTAATAACTTTTGTTTCTCTAGCTTACTTTATTGTAAAAAAAGTGTATAATACAAATACCATATAAAATATGTATTAATTGACTATGTTATTGGTAAGGCTTCCAGTGAGAGGCTTCCATTGTTCAAGATCAACTGTAATTGATATTTTCCAGTGATGGTCAGGTACCTTAATTAGTTTTATTAGAATGAAAATAAGTAGATCCTGTCTGAGGAAACTAAATTTCTTAATCTATTTAAAGGAATCTCTGTTTATGCTAATATTTCTGCCTTCAATAAATAGCCTCTGTTTAACCTCACATTGCAAAGAGATTTCTCCTTAGTCAACCTAAGGGAAAAACTTGGATTTTTCTTTCAGTATGACACCAGCTATATTTCACATTTAATGTGACAGAACAACAATATTTCTATGAAACTGAAACTGAGGTTTTGTGGTATCCTCATGGATGTGAAAGAATAAAGATTTATATTATATTTGGATCTACTCTATTAAAGACAATTTTAATTTTTCCTATAATGATAGTAAGTGGTCAAGTTGCTATATGTCTCGTAGGTGTTCAGAGCAGTTGATTTATATTTGCTTAATTGGTTGGTGCTTACAACAACTGTATCGGGTAGATAATATTATTACCCTCATTTTATAGATAGGGAAACTGAGGCACAGATTTTTTTTTTGTCATTTGCTCAATATAAAACCTTAGTAAGTAGAATTCCTTGCTACACAGAGTGAATCAATTAATTCATATAATTAATTTCTATGGGTAGAAATTAATTATATGAAGATAGGTCACTCTGTGTTTTTTAAAACTTAACGTGACACATACAATTTCCTAGGACAAGGTTGACAACTCATTAAATGATTATGGACTTGACAGTTAAAGATTACCTTTAATAAAAGCTTTAGAAGCAAATCCATTTCTCAAAAGCCTTACTTTTTCTGCCATATATCAGAAAACATAAAAAGAGCATCTATTATCACAACAGTAAGGGAAGAGTATGTCATTTTTTTTAGAAAAACTTTTTGGAGATATAATTCACATATAATACATTCACCCAGCTAAAGTATATAATTCTGTGTTTTTTAGTAGATTTACAGAGTTGTGCAACCATCACCACAGTCAATTTTAGAATATTTTCATCAAACCAAAAATAAACCATGTACTCAGTAACCACTCCAGCCCTGAGCAACCACTAACCTACTTTCTATCTCG